AGCATCTGGGAAGGACAAAACAGAGTTAATGTTTCGGATCCGGCGACCCTTCCTCAGAACTGTGTTAATGAAAATTTTGTTCCCTTTTAATAAAGGTCCTAAACTATCCTCCCTTTGTATATCATACATTCTCATTAAAATTATATATTAAATCCTGACAGGTTGATGATGGCTAGTGTGTACAATACAAACAGGCAGGTTGGGTTTCATTTTCTTATAACAAAACACCTGTAAAAATTCTTTGTTCAATTTACCACCTGAGGCAGGACAATACAACAATGCATTTTCAAAATAAGAATATGCATCACATTAATTAAAATAATGTTTCCTTTCCTGCAGGTTACCATTTCTAAATGTATTTTATTTCCTGCAGTTCTGTATAAGCTTTTGGACTTAATATGGTACGGTTTGAATCTGCCATGGAGGCAGGCTGTGGCCAAAGGGCATAGACACTGCAAATAGCTAAGAGGAGAAGGGTCAGTGGGGCAAGGGTGAGGCACAGAAATAAAACTGTCCTGGAGAAATTCAGCAGGACTGGGTGGCATCTGTGCAGTGAGAGAGTTTTGTTTTAATCCTATATGTCTCTTTTTTGTGACTGAAGGAAATCGGAAAACAATGTTCGTTAGTGGAGGAGGAGCCACTGGAACAGGTGGTGAGGGAGTGCCCAGAAGAAAAGATAAAGGGAATATAAGCTGTGACAAAGGAAAGATATAGATGCAGATTAGTCATTAATGGTAAATTGTTTTATTTCAGATATTCACCATCTGCAGTACTTTGTTTTAATTTAAGAGTCGGGCACAGTCTGTCCAGGGCAGAGGCAATGTCTATCCACAAGCAGAAGGGTAGATATCGCAGCAGTTTCTGTCCTCTCCATTGTTTGGGACCTTGGCTGCAAAGACAGAATGATGGGGACCTCGCTATGCAGGGCATGTTCCTTGCTGCTGGGGATGTGTCAGGTGGTCATGGCTCTTGGAGGATACAGCCACAGTCATAGAGGACAGTTGAATCGAGTAGTATGGGGTTTTTTGGGTAAGGATTGGGGCGCTGCATAAAGGAGGTCAAGAAATATGATGGTGTGGGTGGACTTGATTGTGGAATGGTAGAGGATTGAGAGGTGCATTGGGACCTGAATATTTATGAGCTCAGGGCAAAGGGCAAAAATTCATTTTTAGCAAGGAGGGATCAACTGAAAAGAACCGGGGGGATTATCACGTGTTCAGGGAAGTGAAGAATGGGGGAGAGGGAGCTTGGTCAGGAGGAGCATCAAACATATCAATTTGAAGAATGAATTGTGATTTCACCAATTTCAACAGCTGTGCAAATTTCTTTTGATGTGGTAAAAGATCACACTCAAAGTGGAAGAAATTCTTGATGCAAATTTTTTTTCCTTCATTCATTAACAGGATGAGGGTGTCGCTGACTAGGCAGCATTTATTGCACATCCCTAACTCTCCAGAGGGCAGTTCAGAGTCAACCATATCACTGTGCATCTGGAGTCACATGTAGGCCAGGTAAGGATGGCAGTTTCCTTCCCTAAAGGACATCAGTGAACCAAATGGGTTTTTCCCCGACAATCAACAATGGATTCATGGTCATCATTAGATCCTTAATTCCAGATATTTTACATTGACTTCAAATTGTAATGTCTGCCATGGTAGGATTCGAACCCTGGTCCCCAGCATGTTATTTGGGTCTCTGCATTAATAGCCCAGCGATAATACCACTCGGCTATCACCTCCCCACTCAATAGGAGAGTTGAAGCTTACATTTTCTGGTTGTAGAATGATAGAATGCCTACACTACAGGAAGAGGCCATTTGGCATCGGGTTTGCACTGACTCACCAAACAGCGTCCCACTCAAACCCAGCCACGCCATCCCTGTAACCCGCCCCCCCACTGGGTTTTTACCATGGTTAACCCAACTAACCTGCACATTGATGGACACCACGGAACAATTTTTTTTTAGCACGGCCAATCCACTTAATCTGCACGCCTTTGGTCAACTGAAGGGTCATCCAATTAATCATGAGTTCAGTGGATGGAGAATCATGATTCAATTCCCAAGTAAATCAGCCTATCTCTGGAACCCATGGCATCACATTCCAAAGAGATCCAGTGAAGTTATGGAACCTCAGTACACTGTAGCCTGATTGCCGTCTTGTGTTTTCTCAGGCATGTGCAATTCTAGTGGTGGAAGGGAGGTCTATTCATTCTATAAGCTGCCCCATTGCTTCAGATCAACCACAACAAGGACTGCGAACTTCAGAATCCCAGCTGTAAGCTCATGGTAGCTGTGGGAAGGGGTCAGTTAGAGGTGGCAGAATGACAGTGGTGGGATTGCTGGCATCTCTATGATACAAGTGCAAGATTAGAATGGTTCCCCTGCATCCTCCCTGAAGGAAAGCAGCTACTGTGGATGAGAAAGTTCACTAGAATGTTACATATATCCCAACTATTACACAAAGTTTGGTCTCTGAAGACACAAAGGATGGAGCGTTTCATGGTAGTCATGATGGTTGGGGAGGGAGTCAAACGTAGAAACATTGGAGCAGGAGGAGGCCATTCAACCCTCTGAGCCTACTCTGCCATTCATCACAATCATGGCTGATCATCTAACTCAGTTGCCTCATCCTGCTTTCTCCCCATAACCTTTGATCCCATTCACCCCAAGTGCTATATCTCGCTGTCTTTTGAATACATTCAATGTTTTGGCATCAACTACTTCCTGTGGTAATGAATTCCACTCTTTGGGTGAAGAAATGTCTTGTCATCTCTGTCCTAAATGGTGTACCCCGAATCCTCAGACTGTGAGATCTGTTTCTGCACATACCCACCACCGGGAGCACCTTCCCTGCAACTACCCTGTGTAATCCTCTTAGAATTTTATAAGTCTCTATAAGATTCCGCACCCCCCCATTTGTCTGAACTCCAGCAAAAACAATCCTAACCTAGTCAATCTCTCCTCATCCCTGGAATAAACCTGGTAAACCTTCACTGCCTCAGAGCAAGAACATCCTTTCTCAGAAAAGGAGACCAAAACTGCGCACAATATTCCAGGTGTGACCTCACCAAGGCCCTGTATAACTGCACCAACACATTCCTGCTTCTATACTCGAAACCTCTCACGATGAAGGCCACCATACCATTTACCTTCTTTATCACCTGCTGCACCTGCATGCTTACCTTCAACAACTGGTGCACAAGGACGCCCAGGGTCTACTGCACACTCCCCTCTTCCAACTTACAGCCATTCAGGTAGCAATCTGCCTTCTTGTTTTTGCTTTCAAAGTGAATAACTTCACATTTATCCAAATTATACTGCATCTGCCATTGATTTGCTCACTCACCCAACCTGTCAAGATCATGCTGAAGGATCTCTGCATCCTCGTCATAGTTCAACTTCACGCACCACCGCCCCCACCACTCAACTTGGTATCATCTGCAAACTTTGAGATGTTACATTTTGTTCCCTCATCCAAATCATTAATATATATTGTGAAAAGTTGGGGTTCCAGCACCGATCCCTGTGGCACCCCACTAGTTACTGCCTGTCAATTTGAAAAGTACCCATTAATTCCTACTCTTTGTTTCTTCTCTGCAAACCAGTTTTCTATCCAGGTGAATACACTTCCCCCAATCCCATGCGCTTTAATCTTGACCCGAAACGTCAGCTTTCCTGGATAGTAGGAACTGCAGATGCTGGAGAATCTGAGATAATACGGTGTAGAGCTGGCTGAACACAGCAGGCCAAGCAGCATCAGAGGAGCAGGAAGGCTGACGTTTCGGGCCTAGACCCTTCTTCAGAAATGGGGGAGGGGAAGGGGGATCTGAAATAGATAGGGAGAGAGGGGGAGGTGGATAGAAGATGGTTAGAGGAGAAGATAGGTAGAGAGGAGACAGACCGGTCAAAGAGGCGGGGATGGAGCCAGTGAATGTGAGTGTAGGTGGGGAGGTAGGGAGGAGATAGGTCAGTCCAGGGAGGATGGACAGGTCAAGGGTGCGGGATGAGGTTAGTAGGTAGGAGATAGGGGTGGGGCTTGAGGTGGGAGCAGGGGATAGGTGGGAGGAAGGACAGGTTAGGGAGGCGGGGACGAGCTGGGCTGGTTTTGGGATGCGGTAGGGGAAGGGGAGATTTTGAAGCTTGTGAAGTCCACATTGATACCATTGGGCTGCAGGGTTCCCAAGCAGAATATGAGTTGCTGTTCCTGCAACCTTCGGGTGGCATCGTTGTGGCACTGCAGGAGGCCCAGGATGGACATGTCGTCTGAGGAATGGGAGGGGGAGTTGAAACGGTTCGCGACTGGGAGGTGCAGTTGTTTAGTGCGAACCGAGCGTAGGTGTTCTGCAAAGCGGTCCCCGAGCCTCCGCTTGGTTTCCCCGATGTAGAGGTAGCCACACCGGGTACACCGGATGCAGTATACCACATTGGCAGATGTGCAGGTGAACATCTGCTTGATGTGGAAAGTCTTCTTGGGGCCTGGGATGGGGATGAGGGGGGAGGTGTAGGGGCAGGTGTAGCACTTCCTGCGGTTGCAGGGAAAAGTGCTGGGTGTGGTGGGGCTGGTGGGGAGTGTGGAGCGGATAAGGGAGTCACGGTAAGAGTGGTCCCTCCGGAAAGCAGGTAAGGGTGGGGAGGGATAAATGTGGTGGAGTCAGATACGTCAGCTTTCCTTGACAACAAGGTGCAGAGCTGGATGAACACAGCAGGCCAAGCAGCATCATATGAGCAGAGAGGCTGACGTTTCGGGCCTAGACCCTTCATCAGAAAAGGGGGAGGGGAAGGGGGTTCTGAAATAAATAGGGAGAGAGGGGTAGGTGGATAGAAGAGGGATAGAGGAGAGGAAACAAACAGGTCGAAGAGGCAGGGATGGAGCCAGGAAAGGTGAGTGTAGGTAAGGAGTTAGGGAGGGGATAGGTCAGTCCAGGGAGGACGGACAGGTCAAGGGGGCGGGATGAAGTTGGTCGGTAGGAGATGGGGGTGCGGCTTAAGATGGGAGGAGGGGATGTTCTGTGATGCTGCGGGACGTGTTACGTTCCTCCAGCTCCACTGTTGTTTCTGACAAGAAGATCCCGATGTTTATGCTGTAGAAGCTGGAAGCGAAGTCCTGCTCGCTATTGAACCCCTTTATGCCCCAACGAAACACAGAAATGAATTTTCTCACCCAACAGATTCTCTGAAGAAAGACTGAGACTGGATTGGGATCATTTCTCGTTTAATCCGATCGCGGAGAGCAGACCGTATCTGATGCCGATTTGCGGGATCTGGGTGGTTCTGGTCGTTCCGCTGCTCCTTTCGTGGAATCTGAGCTCAGCGGCTGCAGGTTTGTTGGGGAATGGGAGAGGCCGGAGCTTGGATCTGGGGCCGGCAGCGAGGGGAGGACGGAGCTGGGACTGAAGCGGTTCTCAGTGCACCCGGGCTAGACTGATCAAGATGTTTTTATCTGATCGGATCTCTTTCTTTGTCAACAATTAACGGTTCGCGATTCTAAATAAAACACAAACGGTGCAGTTTTGGTTTATGAACAAGTGGGGCAGTTAAATAGACGAGAGTTAAAGATCATTTTAAATATGGAATAAACTAAACCAGCTGAAAACAGGTTTGTGGTTGAAAACTGGAAAAAATGCAGGAAACTTACCTGGAAATTACTTGTCCCTCCCTAACCTTTCAGAGAAATATCAGAGCATAATCTCTGGCCCTCAGAAACTATAACAAACACGAGATAACAAGGTGTAGATCTGTACACAGCAGGCCAAGCAGCATCAGAGCAGCAGGAAGGCTGACGTTTCGGGCCTGGACCCTTCTTCAGAAAAGGCATCTTTAGAAGAGGCTTCGCAGTGGGGTTAAAATTGTTTCAGAGGTAGTAGGATAAAAGTGACCCTCTGTGTCGGAGTTTTCCTTACTACAAGACTGGCAGTATTTTACTTTCTTTCTGCTTCTGGGCTGAATCAGTTCTGAACCAGATTTCCAGTAATAGTCCCAAGTGGAACACAAAATTACAAGGGGCATTGATAAGGTGAATAGCAAGGGTCTTTTCCCTAGGGTAAGGGAGTTAAAAACTAGGGAGCAGATTGTTAAAACGAGAGGAGAAAAATTTAAAAGGATCCGAGGGGCAACGTTTTCACACAGAGGGTAGTTAATGTGTGGAATGAACTGTCAAAGAAGTGATAGATGCAGGTACATTAATGTTTACAACATTAAAAAGATATGTGAACAGGCACATAAATAGGAAAGGTTTCGAGGGATATGGGCCAAAGGGATATAGGGATATCCCTATATGGGATATAGGCAGGTGGGACTGGTGTAGTTTGGGAAACTTGGTCAGCATAGACGACTTGGACCAAAAGGTCAGTTTTCATGTTGTATGAGTCTAAAATAAATTTTAAAATTTACAAAAAAAACCCCTGGTGGGGTTGTGCTTCCTTGTGGCAAGTTTTGCTTGATGAACAACAAGTTAATTTAAGAAACTCAAAAACCCCCATTTAAAATCGGTGCAATCGAAATCCTGAGTCCCAAGGGAGGGCTACTGTGGTGGAGTGGTAGTATCCCAACCTTTGGTTTGGGAGGCCTGCATTCAAGTTCCCACCTACTCTGGAAACCATCTAATCCTACCCCCATGTCTCTGATTTAAAATAAATACAGCTTGTTTTAAACAAAAACAAATTAACTTATTAACATGAAAGGAAGAACAGCAGGTACTAGAGATGCAAAAATTGCATGAGAAACTCAGTAGTTCTGGCAGCATCTGTGAAGAAAGAAACAGATTTAATGTTGTGAAAGTCCTGTGACCCTTCTCCAGAACTAAATCAACTTATTCCATAACTCTAAAGTGCGAGAGTTTCATCTTCTTCAGCAATTGTCAAATCTCAGCTGTTTGTGGAAATCAGTCAATCAGCATTTGGAAGCTAAATTTCATGAATAATTCATTGCCTGTAAGACAAAGTAATTCATTGTGCAAAGTGCTGCTTACATGGGATGTGGGGTGTACACAAATGCATTACTAATAGGGGCTTGAAACTGCTGGTGAAATTACTGAGAATTCCAGCATTGTCCCACGGGAGTTTCCACTCCACAGTCACCATTGCTGCCTTAGAACTCATGAGGAGATCGCTCATCCAGTTATCACCCATTGTTTGAGGAACCCTGACCGAAGGTATTCTATGAATAATCATCCCAATGCACATTGAGTAAATGCGGCATTCGTTGCAAATGTCATGTATCAGGTTCACTAATGTCCTTTTGGTAATTAACCAACTCTGGCCTGCTCATCATTCCAGACCCCAGATAATCAGCAATTGATTCTTAACTGACCTCTGTGTTGTTCAGGATGGGCAATAAGTGCTAATCTAGCCAGCTGCGCTCTATTTCCCATGGACAAATAAAGCCAAGAGTTCAGGACGCAAGTGATGAGACTTCATGTGATTAAATGTCACATGGTCAGAATCTGAGCTAGACTCTGGCCGAGCTTTCAGAAATGCTGTCAACCAAGACACATAGTTGGAGTTGTGACTGCTGCTGGGTCAATTGAAAATTGTAGGATTTTACGATATAGGAGGAGATAATTCAACCTATTGTTTCTGTACCAGCTCCGGGAAAAGCAAATATTGAATCCTCCCCAGTGGAGAAATGAACTCTGACCTCCCATGTGACAGGCAAGAATACTAAGCACAGTATTATCGATGACCTAAATGTAAATAATGAGACAATTACCTTTTCACTAGAGGAGGATATCAACTGAGCTAAAGCAAGGATAGCAAATGAGCATCGGCCAAAATCTAATTGTGAGAATAGAATCAAAGATCTATGTATCCTACTCCTGTTGTTGTGTTCAAAATAGTTCTAGTTTTGAGCATTTACAATTTTAATAATTACTTAGCAACCAACCTGAAACTGCATAATGCTGTAAACAGGCAAATTCTTTTGAACGGGTCAAATCCAAATAAGACATTCATGCAGCAGCTGAATTCAAGTGACCATATCAGGTAGGAAAATACCTATTGGGCTGTCTTGTAGTGCAGTGGTAGTATCCCTAACCCTGAACTGAGAGGCTTGGGTTCAAGTCCCACCTGCTCCAAAGGCATGTAATAACATATCTGAAAAGGTTGATTAGGAAAAATAGGTTAAATTTTAAAAGAAAGGTGGGAAGCACCTGCTGCAAAGTCAGTGAGCAAGTGCTAAATTACTATTTATTGGTCATTTGTATTTGCTTTGTGAATTCAGCAGATTTGCATGCAAGTACGGACTTTAAACTGTTTATTCTGAATCTACCACCCAGCTGTTGGCAAAAGACTAAAAGTGCAATGAGGCAGTCAATTCGTGTTGACCCCCTTGTCTTCAACCAGATGTAGGAGATAGTGGGTTTTTAAATTTATTCTGTCAAAACCCTTCTAAACATCTAGCAAAATTATTAATTTGCGCTAATCCAGGGCAACCAATTCCGTTTCATTTTGGGATTTAGAATGAGAGATTTTTAAAAATACTGTACATAGGCTCTTAAGGCAGTCTGTCAGGATCAAGGATATCCAGTTTCCACTTGTGTTTGGCTGATGTTTGAATTTGGATTTGTTATGCATTAGGCTTGAAGATTTGGGTAGTGTGTGTGCTCCCCCTGACACGTCTACTCGTCTATCTCCTCTCCTGGTGTTGCCTCAATGATTTTGGTGCATTCCTGAATGAACCTTCTCCATTGTGGTTGTTCATAAGCCAAGGCCTCAGTAAGTCAGCAGGGATGTTTTAACTTCTCAAGTCAGCAAGAGCCCGAACCACCTGCTTCTGTTCCTATTTCTTATGGTTTATGCTTTGGAGACATTAATAAAGTGCTCCAATGTTGTTCTGTGTGCCTCCTGCCAAAAGATGTCTGACTGCAGCAACTGCAAATTTGCCAGTTATGATTTGTATCTATGTTCCTAGTCTTTAGATTATGCATTGTTAGTGATGCATTGAATGATTGTTTATGATGGTAATGACCTGGAACTGCTGCCTCACAGTGCCAGGGACCTGGGTTCGAATCCAGCCTCAGATGAGTCTCTGTGTGGAGTCCTTACATTTCCTCCAGTTTCCTCCCATCGTCCAAAGATGTGCAGGTTAGGTGGATTGGCCATGTGAAATTGCCCTTAGTGTCTAGGACGGGAAATGCTGGGTAGGGGGTGGGTCTTGGTCTGGGTGGCATGCTCTTCAGAAGGTCGATGTGAACTCAAGGGCCAAATGGCCTGCTTCTATTTTGTAGGTTTGTATGATCTTCTATGAATTGAAGGAAGGATGGTTGGAAAACTATTAAACAAAAGGCTGACAAGTTTGTGGAGAATGTGGCCTACATCCTAGTGTCTTAAGTGGCACTCAATTATAGATTTTGTTTTCAAATCAACGTGTTTAAATGTGTGATGAGACACATCGGTGATAGGTAGGATTGAACCCAGGACTTCTGGCCCAGAGATACGAATACTACCATTGTTACACAAGACAAATGCACATGGTAATAACCTTTTAAAATTCCATAGATTCTGGAAGGATCACGTTTATTCAAGAAAGGATGGGACAGAGGGAGACTGTAGGTCCGATAGTCTAACAGTGGTAAGGCTGTCTTGCTGCTCTGGAAGGAAAAGAAAACAGGAGGTCATGAAAATGATTTTTCCTGGTCTGACTTATTTACTTCAAAATGGAGCTTCAGTAAGCCCAATACATTTCATCATCAAGTTTTGTATTTAAACTGTTTTACCTGATGCAGCTGTACAGGCGTGGCCTTCCTAATGCCCTGAATATTATCCGCTGTTTTTATCTCTTTAGCCAAGAAGGTACATACTAGTCAGAGGGGAGTCCAGTAGCAATTCACTAGGCAGATTCCTGGAATAACATTATCATACCAGGAGAGGTTGGGTCAACTAGGCTTGCATTCACTGGAGTTTGAGAAGATTGAGAGGGTATCTTATTGAAATGTATGAAAATCTGACAGGACTGGACAGATTTTATGTAGGATGATGTTCTGGTTCATGGGGTCATGGTCTCAGGATACAAGGTAGACCGTTTTATGTCTAACACTGGGGGAATGTCTTTATTCAGGTGGTGACCCTTGAAAATTCACTACCACAATGGGGCAATATATTTAAGAACTAACTAACTTTTTAGACACTGACAATGTCAAGGGTATAGGTACAGAGCAGAAGTACAACTTACACATTGATCTGGATGAAGGAACCAAACATATAATGACCAAATTTGCTGATGACTCCAAAGTAGCCAGAAAAGTAAGTTGTTAGAGGAAGGTAGAGTATCTACAAAGAGATAGAGATAAAGTGAAAGACCAAACAAATAAGCACATAGAGTAGA